CTGTTTATGAGAAACAGTGTATTTCAGAGAACTTATACTGTAATTAACTTTTTTCAGAGTGAGTTTTGCTGGTCTTAAAGTGTTTTTCCTCTTCTTCGAGATAAAAGTGAGTATGCGTCTTTATGTGACAGAACGCAGTAGGTGGTCTAATGTATGAGGAAGTGTTTTCTTAAATTGTAGGTTACAGATACATGTTGACCCTGTTTCCACCGCCTCATTTTGTCTATGTTTCAATAACTTCAGAGCTCCGAGAAGAAATTCCCCCGGAAAGGGAGGGCGGGGGCGGGCGCGGGGAGAGGGGGGAAGACGGGAGGGCCGCCTGCGGCGGTAGCCTGGGCTGTGGTGAAGAGGAGCAAATGGACCAGTTTTTTATAAGGTTTTAATAACAAAGTTCTTAAGTCACTGAGCTTCTGGTCTAGTCACTGAATCGAGATGTTTGATTAAAGCATTAGGGCTTTTGCCTAGAATATAAGGTTTTTGTTTTTTATTTTATTTATTTACTTATTTATTTTTTGAGGCAAGAGTCTCACTGTGTTGCCCGGGCTAGGGTGCCGTGGCGTCAGCCTAGCTCACAGCAACCTCACACTCCTGGGCTCAAGCGATCCTCCTGCCTCAGCCTCCCGAGTAGCTGGGACTACAGGCATGCGCCACCATGCCCGGCTAATTTTTTCTATATATTTTTAGTCGTCCAGCTAATTTCTTTCTATTTTTTTTTTTTTTAGTAGAGACGGGGTCTCACTCTTGCTCAGGCTGGTCTTGAACTCCTGACCTCGAGCGATTCTCCCGCTTCGGCCTCCCAGAGTGCTAGGATTACAGACGTGAGCCACCCCGCCCGGCCAGAATATAAGGTATTGATAATAGAACCTAACACTTTTATGGCAGCGATAATAGAAAGTAGCACTTTTATGATACCATCAATAATTTTGCCAGGAAACAGAGAGAGAAGGCACTAGAATTACTCATCACGAGTGGGAAGAATTGACAGGAATTCTGGGCATGGAGACACATTGTTTACAGAGGAAGCACCTAGAAAAATTAAATCCTTTGCATGTCTGCTTAGAAGAGTCCTTTCATTAAGAAAATTTAGTGTTTGAAATTAGGGCTCTAGATTACCTTGGAAAGCCACAAATTAAAACCTTGAACATTGTTTGGGATTTGCAAGTGGGTGGGTGAGGGTGCAGACAGAGGCAGGCTCAGGAAAGAGGACTTTGTGCCACAATGTAACGGCATCTCTGTTCCTAATACTTGCTTCTGTCTCCCTCTAGGCCTTTTAATTTGTTTTTACTTAGTGCCGCTAATACTCTCATAAGGGATCTCTGATGGTGAGGTTTCTCTTCTTTATGGCAGAACTATTTCAAAAGTCTAAGGAGAAATTTGAAACCCCCTTCCCTCTTTAAAGGAGGGAGGAAACCAAAAGAAATTTGTCCCCAGAGAAGCACTTTGGACAGGATCTGGTCTCCCTTGATGTGGCATTCCTCTTCCTTGTATAGCTAAAGTGATGGAGAGTAATGATAACTTCTCCACTCTCATTTGGAGCTCAGGGGCATGGGCTTCCTGTTTATTCCCTTATCTGGACGTCTCAAATAACAAGCATGCAACAATGCTTATGACATAATGCAAGAAACAGAGTAGAGATTATTCCTCATTCTGTTTATTCTCTAATTATAACTGGTTTCTCTGTATTTAATGTCTTTTTCTTAACTAGAAAGTTCTTCTAAATCGGGAATGGATTGAAATCTAAATGAGCACGAACTTGGGGTAAGTTTTCTTTTGAAATTTTGAATTAAGTTATTTTTTTCCTAATTACATAGCAATACATAGCCACTGTATGAAATATGAAAAGAAGGGGAAAATAATGGAAAAGTGTCACTTAGAGGCAAACACTCAATGTTTTATCTTTTCTGATTATGCTTCATCAATTTTTCTAAATTATGATGACATACACATAACATCAAAGATGCCATTTTAACCATTTTTACGTGTACATTTTAATGGTATTAAGTACATTCACATTGCCGTGCAACCGTCACTACCATTCATCCACAGAACTCTTTATCTCATACCATTGAAACTCAGTACCCATTAAACAATAACTTCCCTTTTCCCCCTCCCCTGACCCCTGGCACCCACCATTCTACTTTCCTTGTCTATGAATTTGACTACTCCGGGTACTTCATAGAGGTGGTATCATAAGGTATTTGTCCTTTTATGGTGGGCTTTCTTCACTTAGCATAATGTCCTTAGGTTCATCCTTATTATAGCATGTGTCACGATTTCCTTCTTTACTGGGCTGAATAATATTCCACTGTATGTATATACCAATTTTGTTTATCTGTTCACCTGTCAGTAGCCACCTGGGTTGCTTCCACCTTTTTGCTATTGCAAATAATGTTGCTATGAACATGGGTATACAAGTATTTCTTAGAGTCCCTGCTTTCAATTCTTTTGGGTATATACTAAGAAGTGAAATTGCTGGGTCATATGGCTATTTTTGATTTTTTGAGGGACTGCTATAATGTTTTCCATAGCAGTGGCATCATTTTGTGTTCCCACCAGTAGTGCACAAGAGTTCTAATTTCTCCACATCCTCCCCAACATGTTATTTTCTGGGTTTTTTTTTTTTCATGATAGCCATCTTAATAGGTAGGAGGTAGTATCTCATTGTGGTTTTCATTTGCAGTCCTGTAAGTGATGATGAGGACCTTTTCATGTGCTTGTTGGCCATTCGTGTATTTTCTTTGGAGAAATGTCTATTTAAGTCCTTTGCCCTTTTTTAAATCAGGTTGTTTGGTTTTCTGTTGTTGAATAGTAGGTGTTTATATATTCTAGATATTAATTCCCCATCGGATATATGATTTGCAAATATTTTTTCTCATTCCATAGGCTTTCTTTTTACTCTGTTGATTGTACTCTTGGATGCCTAGAAGTTTTTCATTTTGACGTTGTCCAATTTATCCATTCTTTCTTTTGTGACCTGTGTTTTTGGTGTCATATCCAAAAAATCATTGCCAAATCCAATGTCATGAAGTTTTCTCCCTATGTATTATTCTAATAGTTTTAGCTCTTACATTTAGATTTTTGATCCACTTATTTTTATTTTTATTTTTATAGACAGGGTCTCACTGTGTTGCCCAGGTTGGTCTGAAACTCCTGGCCTCTAGCAGTCTTCCTGCCTTGGCCTTCTGATCCCTTGGCTGGGATTGCAGGTGTGAGCCACTGTACCTGGCCTCTTTGATTCATTTTGAGTTAAATTTTGTATAAAAGGTAAGGGTCCAGCTTCATTCTTTTGCATGTGGATACCTGGTTTTCCCAGTACCATTTGCTGAAAAGATTGTCCTTTCCTCATTGGAGGATCTTGGCATTCTTGTTGAAAATCATTTGACCTATATACGATAGTTTATTTCTGTGCTCTTTATTCTATACCATTGGTCTATGTGTCTGTCTTTATGACAGAACCCCTGTTTTGATTATTATAACTCTGTAGTAAATGTTGAAATCAGGAAATGTAAGCCCTCCAACTTTCTTCTTTTTTTAAGATTGTTTTAGCTATTTAGGGTCTCTTGAGATTCTATATGAAACTTAGGACAGATTTTTCTCTTTCTGTAAAAATATGTCAATGGTTTTCAATGATTTTTTTAAAGAGTTGCTATCATGCTGTATGAATAATTTTAATATTTTTCTTTTTCTTACTTAACATTATTATATATTTATACCATTGTAAAATAAAGATGACTTCTTGTTACTCAAACACTTCATAAATATTCTTTCAATGACTACATAAAGGAAACATACAAATGGAAGTAGAACTGAAAGTTTTGAAAATATTATGCCTCAAACCACAAGTACTTAAATGCTCTAGTCATAAAAATGAAAAGACTCTAATTCGAGACATTTCAGAGTGTTAGGATGCAATATTTATGCTAAGTGGATAGAGGAAGGGATAAAAAACCAATTGTATTAGCTTAAAATACTTTTTTAAAGTATACAATTATATTACTTTGGACTAACTACAATTCTGGAATTCATTTATTTACTCAATGAGCATTTACTGAGTCTCTACAGTTTTTGAAGTCCTAGGAACCTAGATATAAATTAAATAGGGTCTTTACCCTTGGGGAAGAGAATAAATACTTAAATGTAACAAAAGTCTAATATGTATCATGAACTTTTACTTCCTCGTGTAATCTGTGCATCAGCCCTATGAGGGAGGTGGTACTAGCCCCACTTAGAGATGAGGGAACCAACATTCATTTCAGAAAAGCTGAGCTACGTATTGAAGGTGACACAGACAGTGAGTGTTGGGCGAGGTGACGAGCCCAGGGTTCCCCGAAGGCCTCCAAAGCTCACTCCCCAAGGTTGCTTTTGGCATTTATGACCTAACACGGGAGACAGGAGTGTATACAGCTATCTGTAGCATGAACAAAATACTGCGATAGCAATGAATTCTGTTGGATTGGAGTCAAGAAAGGCTTTAGAGAAGTGGTATTACAACCTAAGAGTCAAGAACTGAGGATTTCATTAGATAAAAATGGGGAGAAGAGCATTCATTCATTCATTCATATGCCCATCCACGCCTCTGCACTGGGCTTTGGCGGTGTGCTAGTTACGGCATCAGATGCTGAGACACGAGAAAGCATGAGACACGGGTCACCCGCGGGAGTCACAGTGTAACGAGACACTTCAGTAACTGATGACAGAGCATGTGCCAGACTCTGCCACAGGATTGAAAACAAAGCTCTGGGGACACCGTTACAGGGTACTAAAGGCAAGTTCACAGTGGCAGAAGCTACAATAAGGTAGGTAGTGCCGGGCATGGCAGACGGGACCCTCCGTGCCAAGCTGAGGAGTTTGGGTTTCACTCTGTAGGCAGCAGCAAGCCAGCTGGAGTTGTTAAGTGGGAACTTGACACAGTCAGTCCAGCCTTTTAAGAAGCTATCTGGCAGCCGGTGCAGTGTACAGTATAGAAATTGAGAAAGGGACAGGTGGCAGGAAGACCAGTCTGGGGGCTGGAGGTCCGAACTAAAGATGGAGAGAGCCTGCCAGAGGTAGCAAGAGGCCATGTGTGTGAGGTGAGGTTGGCCGACTGTGTGGTCTCTAGGATGTGTGCTGAGATCAAGGAAGGAGACAAGAGAACAACATGAATGAAGACTTTTGGTTCTGCACATGTTCAGAACCACCATACTGTTTGCAAGTAAAAAACTCCAACAAGTGTTTAATAAATAGATAAGACTCTTTTGAATTATCAGTATTTATGTTAAATATTTAACCATTTTAAAATACTTTAAGAATTTGATCGACATTTTTCCTCGCACAGTTTAAAACATACCTTGCAATGCTATTTACACTATTAGTTTGGTTAGCAAGCTCTTCTTCCACAATCTTAGAATGTAATTTTGATCAGTGCTATATTGAAACATCAGACTTTGAGACAGTAGATGAGTGAATTTTTGCTAAGATGAAATTCAAAAAGATTAATGGATTTTTCCTGAAAAATTCAAAAAAAGATCACTGGTGGGGTGAATACTATGCATTGCTATTTTAATGTTTCACAAAAATTTTCCATTTCCCCAGGTCCTTACTAAGTCTTGTAATTTATGCAGACTTTTTTTGTTCTGTACAGTGTCATATTTGTTTTCATCAATAAGTAAAAATAAAATCTGGTTAAAAGTGAAATTGCTTATAAACATGCTGCTAAGTGCCACCAGAAGAGGGCGGCAGTGAAGTGCTAGAAAGAAGAACTAATTTATAAGCTCTGAAATGTCAGAAAAGCGTTAAGACTGAGGGTGATGTGAATGACAGCAAACCTTTGTTGGTGCTGGCATCCTAATTAACATCCAGAATTGACTTATTTTCTGAGCCAGAAACTATGACACAAACATTGTCACAGAATTTTCAGAAAATCTGATGATGTACTTGTAATGCAATAAAGTATTAGTAATAGATTTGTGGAAATTTCTGGTAAGATTGATGACACACTAGGAGAAATTCTGAAAATTTTACATCAGTCTGAAGAAAAAAAGTTTAGAAGACAAATTAAAATTAAGCAGGTTGTTTCTTGTCACTTGAAGAGTGTAGACAGAGAATTTGATAGCTGAAAGACAATAAAAGGTATCTTATCTTTTTTGAACATTAGATATGTTCAAAGCAGTTTGAAATAAAAAAGATATTTCCAGCTTATCAACAGTAAGCAGTGCATAGAATTAAGCAAGTAAGAGAGGTTGCCCAAATTCAGCCTATATCTGCTTTTACCAACATTTAACAACAACAAATATTTTTTGAGCACCTAGTATGTGCTGGGATTATTCAAGGTACTGAGGCTATAGAAGACACATTCCCCACCCTCTTGGAGTTTATATTATAGTGGAGAAGACAGACATTAAACAAAAGGGCACAATTAATTCATTAGTTACAATGAAGAAAAACAAAAAATGGAAAACTATCTACCCCAGGGCCCAAAGTCAATTAGTTTGGGCTCAATTCGAAAATTGGAAAATTAAGTGAAATTGAAAATAGGATTCAAAAACAACTTGTCTTAAGTCCTCAATACCCATTTATATTATTTATTTCCTTTAACAATAAATAAAATGGATAAGGTAAAATATACAGATTCATGAAAATAACATTGCTAAAGCATATTTGAGTAGTTGCTGTGCGGCAATACAGCACTTGGCCAACTTAAAGAGCTGTAAGATGCGCCACACCTCCCTGACCACCTGAACTTGATTAAACTCTATGTCCATCAGTCCAGCCACAGCCAC